GTGCATCCCGTGTTTCATGTATCTATGCTCCGGAAGTATCGCGGAGATCCATCGCACGTGTTAAATTTCAGCACTGTCCAATTGGACAAGGATCTTTCATATGAGGAGGAGCCGGTGGCTATTCTAGACTGGCAGGTTCGATAGTTGAGGTCGAAGAGTTTTCCTTCGGTGCATGTTCAGTGGAGAGATCAGCCTCCTGAGGCATCGACCTGGAAGTCCGAGTCCGATATGCGGAGCCGTTATCCTCATTTATTTCCCGACTCAGCTACTTCTTTCTTTTGTCCGTTCGAGGACGAATGGTTGTTTTAGAGGTGGAGAATGTGATGACCCAAAGGGTCATCACCGTAATTCTTCCTAGTTCCGTGCTTTCGAGGCCCTGAAAACCTCGCTTTTAGTTGCCTCGATCTGCGTGCGCAGTTCGGGCACGTAACCGAAAAGTTTTTATGTTAGAATATGCGAATTTTGTAAAAAACAATTTGATGAATTTTGATATTAATATGCATAATATTGACTTCGGTCAACATTTTGGGTAAAACGGACCTGGACCTGTGATTCGACGGTCCCGGAGGGTCCGTAGAAAAATATGGGACTTGGGCGTGTACTCGGAAATCAAATTCCGAGGTCCCAAGCCCGAGAAATGAATTTTTGTGTGAAATTGTTTTCTGAAATTAATTAAGGAAAATGAAGAAGAAAATTGATCAGAAAATTGTGGTATCGGGTTCGTATTTTGGTTCCGACGCCCGGTACGAGTCTTAAATATGTTTTAAGCACTATCTGTAAAGTTTGGTTAAAAACAGACGTCATATGACATGTTTCGGACTTAAAATGGGGAATTTGAGTTTTTATGAAAGTTGAAAGAAAATCATGTATTTTGAGGCTTGATCCNGAAGTTATTTAATTCATTTGCTAAAATTTCAGATTAAACATGCTTAAGTTTTTTAGTTCATTTGCTAAAACTTCGGTGTAAACATGCTGAAGTTATTTAGTTCATTTGCTAAAACTTCAGAGTAAACATGCTTAAGTTTTTTAGTTCATTTGCCAAAACTTCAGACTAAACATGCTTAAGTTTTTGTCTTGCAGTATGTAATTTTCTAATGAGTTTTTGCTAATGCATGCTGAAGTTATTTAGTTCATTTGCTAAAACTTCATAAAAAACATGCTAAAGTTTTTTAGTTCATTTGTTAAAACTTCAGACTAAACATGCTTAAGTTTTTTAGTTCATTTGCTAAAACTTCATACTAAACATGCTTAAGATAAGTTTTTTAGTTCATTTGCTAAAACTTCAGACTAAACATGCTTAAGATCTTGTCTTACAGTATGTAATTTTCTAAAGAATTTTTGCTAATGCATGCTGAAGTTATTTAGTTCATTTGCTAAAACTTCATACCAACACATGCTGAAGTTTTGTAATGCAGTCTACAGTTTTGTCCTGAGTTTTATCCGAAACTTAAGTTTAAACAAGTTGAAGTATTTTAGTTCAATTGCTAAAACTTCAGCCTAAACATGCTTAAATTTTTGTCCGGCAGTTTATCAATAGTCTTTTATTAAAGAACAATATCGTCTTTATAAAACGCTTTTAACAAAAAAAAATGGGTACAGATGCAAACGGAAAAACAAAAAGGATATAAGTTAAAAAGGGGCGACCAAATAGGGCACTCCATGCAATTTTTACGGTATTTGTGCACTTTTTAACTAGTTCAAAGCATTCCCCAAATAGTGTTTGCAGTTCAAGATCCATTCACTATATGCTTTCCGCTAGTAATTTGTATTTCATTGAAAAACTTAAAAGAAAATACAAAAGGGAAGGAGGGGAAAAGATGGCTTAAAAGAATGTAATTAAAAAGCCGAAATACCGAAGACAACTTCCCATCATCGCTCATCTTTTTTTGCTTGTCGCTATATCTGCATCCCGAATAAGTACCAAAAGTCAATGCCTCAAATGCAATCAAAGAAGAGAAATGAGACATTGTTTCCTACAAATGTGAATTCATTAAATCTAATTCTCCCCCATGGAGAAAAAGTCATGAACTGCCCACATGAATAACAACCCAAATCTTGTAGCTGGACAGGTTTGTCCCTACATGAATGAATCATTTCACTACAAAATATAGAGAAAAAAATGTACAGAAGAGTAAGATGGTCTGCGAAGACTATGGTCTGAATCAATTTTGAACCTGGGTACCAGTTTTTTATCCTTTATGTGCTTCACAAGTTAATGCCAAAGCTTACAACAAAAACCATTCGGTGGCCTCTTGCTGGATATCATTTCTGAAAAGGTATCAACCAGTTGACCAGCCAAGCTACCTGGATCATCAATTAGTGTTTGAATGAAGGTATTTACCACCCTACGCTCCTGCTCCGTTGATCTCAAGCTAAACCAAGTAAGCAACTTTAACCTGAACTCCTTCTCGATCAAACCCTGACATTCCAGCCAACGGATGATCTTAACACAGTATTCAAAGTTCTCATCCAAGCCCCCTGTACGAATTCGGATAGGTGAACCATTGACCAAGGTGCTATCAGAGTCATGTGCCTCACGATTATTGCTAGTTCCCCTCTTCCGAAAATCTTCCATCTGAGAACCAACAGCAGACACATCTCCATTCTTCCCCTGGTTCCAGTTCTGGGAATCTCCGCTACCATGTGATCCGGCAAGACCATTCCTCTCATTGTCATGAGAGGTGGCATCATCAACTGCTTCAACAGTCTGCCCTAAAGTGCAGCCATTATCTTCATCTCTGGACGAGGGGGTTAACTCTTCATTTAAATCGGGTACTGAAGCAACATTTAAGTCAAGCTGGCGAGAAGTAGATGGCTTCCTCTCTTCCTGTACAGGTTCAGGCTTAACAGTACTACAAGACTCACAGCATTTTGCAAATGAAGGTCCACAAAATCCCTCCAAACATCCTTGCTGTTGAGCCCATGCCAGTCTTAGAATTTTACCAAGGTCTCGGACCTTGAATCCAGAATCAAACTCAATGTCTTTTCCAGTGTAGTAGCCCTCTTTGGAGCCAGAGTTTCCTCCAGTATCCTGATTCACCTTCCTTTTGTGTCCTGCTACTGAATTAGACTTCCTGTGTATTATCTCAATACTCTTTGTGAAACACTTCGCCTCAGAGTGTCCCACATCACTGATGTCTGTATAGGAAACTATCCGAAAAGAATACTCTGTGCAAGGCTGTAAATTCGATATCAAAATCCTTCGCTGAGTTCTTGGAAAGACACAAACAGGTTCTTGTGTATAAGTGTCTTCTCTGGCCTTGCAGTACCAGAGCTTGTAGCCCTTGACATCTTCAGAAGATTCAGCGGATACTTCTATCAGAACAATTACAACCGAAGTTGACGTCACTTCCTCAAAAAGAAATTTGCACGCTGCAGGAAGTGAACCCTCTGGCAAGAAGTAGCAACAGGAAAGTATTACTAATAAAGTACTCTAGATTCAACTTGCTACAAGTCAGTGCCACCTCTGAAGAATAAAATAAGAAATGGTACCTGAGGAATTAGAAGGTTTGTTAGTCTTTGTTGTCAACCATTCATCAGCTTTCTCAATGGCAATCGAGCACAATGACTGAATATCGCTGGCAATAGAAAGTCTGCTAACAATTCCCCGAGCCATCTTCGATGATACTCCATTCACTGGGCCCACTTCCATCTCCAATTTGGCCTTGGCTTCTTTAACAATTTCATGGAGCTCTTTAAATCTGGATGTCCCGTCCAGGAGCCTGTAACTCAAGTATATTCTGTAGCAGAGGATGTCAACACGACGAGCATCCTTAGCTACACAAAGCTGTTTCTTCCAAAACCTACCAAATTCCATAGTGGAAGAGAAAAAGGTTCAACAAACACGACGAGATTAATAGCATTATACACAAGGAGATAACCGATGCTTCTCTTCATGCAGGAGGGCCAAAAGTGGATGGGTATTACTGTACAGTTATTGCCAATAAAGAGGATTTCTAACATCTAGCTTTTTGGAAATGCCATAGCTTGACACTCTAAAATTCACTCAAAATGATTGCTCATTCTGCAAACTACTGTCTATACATCACTAGGTGGAAACGTTTCTTAAGGTTAACATGCTGTTAGTCAAAATGAGCTATTAACGATTCTAATCAACCCAAAAGAATTCAATAACAGTACTACCTTTAATACATAAATAACTAATCAAGATTGAACAGAGAAGAAACAATTAACACCTTCAACACTGCAAAGTGACACTTGGTAGCAGGAAGCTTATAAAAGAATTCAGAAGGAGATAGCTTCAAGACTGATCCTTCCGCACAATCTTTTGACAAGGGAATAAGTCCTCTATCTGTCTATCACACACGCATATTGAAAAGTGAAAAATATTATACTTCTCTAAAGGAAACTTACCCAAGAATTCCTGAGACTTTACCACAAGAAGCACAACAATAGCTCCCATCTAGCTGCATCAGTTGTCCTAGATCAACAACTCCCACCTTCTCACGTTGGAGGGCACACTCAATGTGGCAAGTCAAGCCACATGAGCCCCCCTGACCAGATTCAGATGTGCACTCCAACCAAAGACTAGGATCCTTGTTATCATCAAATAAGTGACAAATGCAACAAGAGCACCTTTTGCAAAAATTGTCATCAATCGAAATAGTGGCCCGGCATGCGGCATTTTTGCAGATCCATGAATTTGAACATTTCACATCTTCACACGGCTCTGTAGCTGGTGGGATTCGGAGAGGGTTTTCCCCTTTCCTGTGCTGCTTTCTAGAAGAATGATCCTTGGGACTTGAAGATGCTCTTTTTTGCTCTTGAGTCTTAAATTGCTTTTTACTAAACTTTGGGAGTTGCTCAGACATTTTGCACTTGGATAAGATTAATTGCTTCCCTTCCTTGTCCTGGTAGAACTCTGAAAGATCTTTCCCTGGACCAGATTTCAGGACTTTTTGGAGTGCCTCTAAACTTGATTTTTCTCTGTAGTTCTTTTCTCACTGGACGAAGCACTAAGAACACCGAAAACTGGATATAAAAAACATATGAGATAGCATACAGAGAATCTACAGCGGTGGCGAAAACAGAAAAAATGCGTGGATCTGACCAAAAGATATGACACAAAGATTTGTATCGATTTTCCATTCTTGCATTTAAAGTAGATCTCAGACACTGAAGCCTATCTTGCTCATGAGATCCCTATAAATGAACTTCCATATGAGAGTCCACCATAGATGCCTTAGGTAAAAAAAAGTTGCTATGATTTGGTGCTTATCACATCTGCATCACAAGTGAGTCAGGAAAAGATATATTTTCATTTGGTTTGGAGTGCCAATAACTGACATTTCATGCTTTTTTTTTAACTGTAACTGACATTGATCCCTTTTCAAGGTGAAGTCAAAACTGCATGACACTTGAAACTTGTGAGCTTAAAAGGGAATCCAAGTTTATTCTATCATTTATTTGAAACTACTCGCATCGACATTGGAGAAGAATCTTATAGTGTCACATCTTTGGTCATATAAATTTTAGCACTTTTCCTTTGCAGGTTGACCCCCAAAAGGTAATGAAGCAAAATAATAGGTCTAACAATGTTTACTATCGATCACAAATTGACAGGGTAAACTCCTGTTTATCGTACATTAGATGTCAATGTTCATTTGTTTCATAAAGAGAGACAAGATACCATCTTCCTTTGGTAGTTTCCAAGAGCTACAGGCATGGCATCAGACAACTAGAAGAATTATATTTCTATGGCAACAGACAGCCATCTTTTTCCCATCTTAATAAAGAATCTATCGAAAAATAAGGGATAAATCTCTCCTATTATTCATACCATTGGCAATATCCTAGGCAGTTTTACTCTCAAAGCCAAAACTACACCAAAAGAAGCCACCTTTCTCCGGCTCTTCATATCTGGGTTCCAGATAACCAGGCCACACAAACTTGTGCCTGGAACAATAGCAAAAGCCTATGAAGTGTCCTATGCAGCTATGGTTTGTTTTACTGCTACTATAGGCCACAATTTCATACTTCTTTACTCTCCTTATCGGTTTATCGATCATCTAATCCATGCAGAACCTGCTTTAACATTCACGACCTAGGTAGATCTAATGTGTTCCATTATAGCATATTGTTCATCCAGTTCGTAAAAACTGCATAACGGCTGTTGTTTAAGTTAATAAAAACATGGTTATCGGAAAAATGTAAGGAATTCCAGTTCTTGTAATAAAACATTGGATCTATGTTGGTGTCACATCCATAATTGTTTTAGACAAACATGCAAATATATAGAGACAATTTGACTGAAGTGGGACTTCAATGTTCCATAAAATATGTTGATGTGACCCCAAGAATGTTAATTGCACCCCGTCATGTTTATCATATGATGGACACCAAGTTTTATAGGTCATCTGGTAGAAAAACAGTGCCTTTACAGGATAGTTGAAAACCCCAGCAAAGGCAAAGATATTCACAATCAAACTATGCTCATAATCATGCCAACCCTTAATATAACATCAGTAAGAAAGTTATCTCAACTAACAGAAACTTCTCTTTATCTAACAATTCCCTTCATCTATTGAGCATTATTTCTTAGTTTTATCCAGTTATCATTTACACTTGTTTTACAAGTACAGTAACACATATATTAGAGCAAACAACTTCAACATACGTGGTTTTTGGAGAAGTTTCATCCTCAATTCAGTCTTATAGAGCTTCTGAAGTTATACTTAAATCAAATAGAACATGACAAATTTAAAGCATACATACTGAAAACTAGAGCGCTATCCACTTCGAAATGAGTGAAAACGAAATCAGAATGGGAAGTTAAATTGGATACAGGCCAAAAGATCTGGTTCCCCGCCTTCCCATGGTTAAGACTGCAAGCCTTGGGCTAAGAATTGTTAAAGTACATCCTGCCACAGAAAGAATGGAACCAAGAATTGAAGAGTAAATACTGGAATTACTGTGACTATTCTTTTAAAAGAAGAATAGCTCTAGATATCTTACCTAAGTACCATGGAGGTCTGGATAGGATTTTAACGAGCAACCTACACATCCCAAAACAAGAATTGAAGAGCAAATACAGGAATTACTGTGACCATTCTTTTAAAAGAAGAATAGCTCTAGATATCTTACCTAAGTACCGCAGAGGTCTGGATAGGATTTTAACGAGCAACCTACAGATAACAAGAATTGAAGAATAAATACAGGAATTACTGTGACTATTCTTTTAAAAGAAGAATAGCTCTAGATATCTTACCTAAGTACCACTAAGGGTGGAAAATGGGCTATTTGGGCTGAAGTTGGGCGGGTCAAGATGAGCTGAGTAAATAAATAGGTTAATGCCCAACCCTGCCCAAAGTTTATTTGGGTCAAGATGGGCTAAATAATGGGTCGTACCCCAACCCGCCCAACTTGACCCAAATTTTTTCAATATTCTCACATTTACAAATCAAAATTCAATATTTTTAGAAAAAATTAAAAATATATTCACAAATAATCTCCTCTGACTCAAATAATGATATGTTGTGATTTATATTGCGATACCTCAAAAATAGCCTAGTGCCCGTCTTTTATTTTATTGATATAAATTTTGTTTGTTATTTTCTCCGTTGTGTTAATATGTTTCTGCTTTATTTTCAAACTTTTTCATGTTTGATGATTGGTTTCATCAACAATAATTAGTTAAATAATTCATTTTCTCTATTAATAAAATTAATGTCAGTCCACTTTGTAAAATACTCAAAATAAACCTATTAGTACATTTTACACAAAATATCAGTTTTCAAAATTCAACCGTTGTAGCATTTTGGTTAGTTGTTCATCACCTTGATTTGAAGACTAATACAACTTCTCTTCACTTATCTCTATTTGGTGATTAATTATAATGTAGTTAAATAATTTTCTCTATTAATAAAATTAATGTCAGTCCACTTTGTAAAATACTCAAAATAAACCTATTAGAACATTATACAGAAGCTGTCATAGTTTTCAAAATTCAACTGTTATGCATCCCTGTTTACTATAATAATATACATGTATATAAGTTAATGTACTACTCTCACTTTTTTGGTGAATAGAATAAAAAAAGTATTTCTTAAAAAATATATATATATATAAACTTGGAGAAACAAAATAAAAAATTATTAATTACCAAGTGCATGAGAATGTAAAACGAATAACTGAACAAGAGACTCAAGCTATAACATGGGTCAAGGTAGAATTCTAAGATTGAGCATTTTAATGGGTCAAGGTTAGGCATCATCATGGGTTCATGTGGGCTGATGATTTGTGATGGGTTAACTTGGGCTAGTCCAAAATAGCCCATCTTCAAAACTATTCCAGCCCAAACCCATTAAAACTTGGGCAGGTTGGGCGGGTCAAATGGGTTTGGGTTAGCTTTAACACCCCTAAGTACCGCGGAGGTCTGGATAGGATTTTAACGAGCAACCTACAGATCCCAAGACAAGAATTGAACAGTAAATACAGGAATTACTGTGACTATTCTTTTAAAAGAGGAATAGCTCTAGATATCTTACCCAAATACCCCGGAGGTCTGTATAAGATTTTAACGAGCAATCTACAGATCCCAAAACAAAAATACAACCTTATTTTAAAGCAGTTTATCTTGCTGAGGTGGGACAAGGTAGATAACTTAAGCAATAAGATTAAGTGGAAATTCTCACCTCCAGAAATCTACGAAAGAAAGCCAAACATGAATGTAGCAGCAGCAACCCCTCCCTGACACAATCAGATGTTAAGATGCATAACTGATGATGCATATCTGCAGCTCAGGCCTCTAAAATAAGCTATAAACAGTTTCGTGAAATATTGATTACCCTTGTGAACAACATCTTAGGAACAGGCCTTCAAATTTCCATGATCAGAATTTTGACAAGATGTATACCGAGATTCAGAATTTCAACAGAAACACAAACACACAATGAGCTGCAAAGTTAAAATTTTACGGACTACTCATACCAAACACAACATGTTGTTATATTGCATTGAGAAGGATCATATATGACTTTTCACAAATGAGCAAACAAGAGGAACTTCTATGAGTTTTGCTAAGAGCAGAAGATACCATAATGTAGCTGCAGAAGTGCAACACAATTAGTTTCCCAAATTTCGCGAGATGGGAAACTGAAATCAGTAGGCTGAATGCACTCAGAAAGGTAAATTCAAATAAAATGCTGTGTATCATTATGTTAGCAAATTGGCACGCTTTTCCAGTTTCCCCTATCCTTTTGAGTGTTATTTAAACTTGCAAACAAGAAAATGTTAGTTCGATACATAAAACAAACTAATTCATACAAAATGGGTACATTTGTTTACACCAAAACCTTTTTTTTCTTTGCATATATCAGTCATTTATCAAATCAACCAAACTATCTAGCAACTGGAAATTCTCTTTTCACCATTAGTATGAACAGAATGAAATGACCTTCAGATATTTCTTATATCTCTCTCCCTACTAAGAAAAAACCTTAAATCTATATATCTAGATAGTCCAAAAAATAGATATAATGGTGCTATTCCCAAAGCTATTTCCCTTTCACTCCCAATCTTCTGTAGCCTCATTACGTCATTGCTTCATCCATTGTATCCGATAATAACCCCGAGATGAAGAACGAGAATACTATGGTCAATATCTGTCCTGTAAATTTGGTATGCAACAGCAGGTGGTTTCTATTCACGTTCTATTCCTTGCACAAGTAATAGCAACTCATTACAATTCATTTCCTCTGCTACTATCTTCAGCGCCTTACTACTCCAGATATTCTTCCACACCTTCCTCATATCCCTTTTCTTATGGGATAGGGTAAAAATTAATATTATTGAACATGGGAAACACCCCGTATACAAAATATATATATATATATATATATATATATCAAAAACTTAAAAATCTACACAAAAAATTATGGTTCTCTACAAAGCGCACCCAGTCTTCTATACAAAGTGGAACCGCGTGGATGCACCTAAAAAACCCTAGAAAAGAAGGTTATTCTGCATATGCATAAAGTCAGATTCTAACCCATTAAAAATAGGCTCTCATATCCCTCTTTGTAGAGAACAACAAAAGTAGAGCCTTCTCTTCTTTTGTGGGCCCAACTATGTAGCATCTAGGTTACTGTATCTGGCATCGCCCAACGTGCGCTAAACTAATTTAACACTTCTCACCACAGTAGCATTGCCACATAATTCAATATGAGGTGGTTCATATCTTCACCTGAGCATTTACACAGAGAACACTGCATATGCAATTCTCCTCGTTCTCAGATTCTCAGCTGACAGGGTGGCACCCCTTGCTACTACCCCAAGCAAAGCAAATCTTTTTAGGCGCTCTAATATCCAAGCTGGTGAATGGGAGAAACTGGCTTCCTCTTCCACCAACAGCTTATGGGAATTTATGACTTAGGAGTAAACATTCCATCTCTGCTTAACCCACATCCACGAATCACGGCTAGTGTGTAAGCAATTATGCTTGTAGTACTACCCAAGCAAAGCAAATCTTTTTAGGCGCTCTAGTATCCAAGCTGGTGAATGGGAGAAACTGGCTTCCTCTTCCACCAACAGCTTATGGGAATTTATGACTTAGGAGTAAACATTCCATCTCTGCTTAACCCACATCCACGAATCACGGCTAGTGTGTAAGCAATTATGCTTGTAGTTGTTCCACCAGACTTTGAAATTTAGTTACACTTTCCAGCCATGCAAGCTCCTCCTGAATCTCATGTTCCACAGAGCTCCATCCTCATTTTGACCACCTGACTTGTCGTACCGTAACTTGACATTCTATAATATTAGGTAACATTTTGACTTATCAAACACAGTATTATGTAACATGGACTTCAACACATTCTCTCTGAACCCACCCTGAAATTAATTATGTTTTATCTCCCACCCGAAATGAAATGTTGTCACTGAAGGCGTCCCATTCCCTATGATGTTCCTTCAAAGACCAGTCCACAGCCGAAAAATAAAGAGATGTTCCTAGTTCTCCATCCCTTGTCCAAGGTTCCATATTGCTACTAGCATTTCCCTCCATAGAGCCCTCTCCTCGGTTCTGAACCTCCACAAATAATTTCCAGCAACGCTATGTTAAACACTTTAAGGTGCTTTACCCAAATGACCACCTCCTAGCAGCCAAGATGGTGCTTCCTAAACCTATCTGTTGCATCCCATAAGTTCATATGAAGCAGTTACACTAGCTAGTGCTGTAACAATGACATAGTATGCGTAGATGAACAATAGTGTGTTTTTTATGAAGTATTGATGGTGTGTTTTTTTATTAGTACTTCCTTTTGACAAGTTTCTTTTTTGCCACCCTGTTAACATCTTCTCAGCTCTTTTAATGACCAGGTTCTATGATTCTTGATTTTGATTTGCTGTAATCAACGGCAACCCAATTGTCCACCTCTTCCATTGGCATGATCTCGAACTCCTAAGGTTGATCTTGAGTTCTAACACCGCTCAAAACCACATGAAAATGTTCTGAGCGTGCCAGTTGGGTCACACCGGGCTTCAACACCTAGCGCACGTCCAAGGCTAGACTTTGGTACCATCATAAGAAGATGACCTCAGGTCTAACTCCACCACGAAAGATAGCTTATGAGGTGAAGATTGCACATGCCATATAAATCGACCAAAGTTGATTCTCTTAAATAATACGGGCCTCGAGTATGTAGGAAATAGGAGATGTGAGATTTTTACGATGTTTATCCCTAGACAAGCGCAACAAAACTCCTCATGTTGCCTCCTGTGGCCGTTCTATCCATCATCTTGCTTAGTTTTCATTACCGAAGCAAAGAAACATGGTTGATAAAGGATCTCTTGTCTAAAACCCCTCGAATTCCCAAAAAGTTTGCACAAACATTCCCGAGGATTGAGTATCTAATTGTCTATATGCAAAACCTAAGTGTTATCAAAGGCAAAAAGCGCAAAAGCTCTCTAAGGTTTGTTGGAGCTTTAAGCGCAAAACACAAATTAATGAAGAAAGGCATAAACGGAGAAAACCCACAAATATGTATGTGTAGTCAAAGACTAATATCTATAAGCATGAATACCAAATATATGGACAAGGAAATTACAGAAAATTTACGATAAAGTTAAATATCAATTATTTAGTGTCGCCTCTTTAGGAGTACGCTCATTGGAAAGGAAAAATATGCCTTAGAGCCTTGATGACAATGCTGAAGCACACGTTAAGCGATGCAAAGCGCTCAACATGTTGTGAGCCTCGCTTCAAGGCTAAAGTGTGCCTTTGATAACACTTCGTAATCCACTCTCCCACCTATCTCCAAGTATTATCCTCATCATAACAATATCCACAACCTCCCAATTTACATGGTTGTAGGCTCTTGAAGGTCTAGCTTGCATAATATCCTAGCTCACCTTTCTTACTTCTACAATCAACCACTTCATTTGCACCCATTTTCGCACCAAGAATTTGCCTTCCTTCAACAAACACATTTTAGAATGTAGACATTGTCTTGTCCACCATCTTCTTAAGTGATAAACTGTTGGAAAGCACCTTAAAAATTATATATTAGATGATTCTCACTGGATTAATAAGCATGTAGTATTTGATACACAAAGCTCCTCCCTTTTGGCACAATAGACTCCTTTCAGACTCTTCTGTTGCTAAGCAACAATAGTATCCAATAAATCTTCATTGATCATGTTCTAGCATTATTGAAACCTATATTGCGGGGACTCCAAAATACTACCGCACCTGTGTCGGATTCTCTAAAAATATACTGCTTTTGGAGAATCCGACACGCACCCTGTGACATTTTCGAAGAGAACTGGCAACATAGATTGAAACAAAACCAAGGTAAATTCGTTGAAGCATGACTCTATAACACCTCCCTCACCTCTTTTCTTTTCTGTTTCTAACCACTCACGTCCATGTGTATACAGGAATTCATAAAATCCAGTAATTGTCCCTCACCCCTCCTCGCCTTTATAACCCATGCCATTCACATACTCATATTGTTGTATGAACTTACTTCTCCTATTTATCCTTGCTATCCTATGAAAATTTTTTGTGTTTGAGTTTCCTTTCTCCATAAGGCACTCGATTTTCATTGTCGCTATTCTCCTATGTTATTGCCAAGAAAGCTATGTCCTCTTCCATTTCTTTCACCCTGTACTATAACCCCCTTACCTTTAGCACTCCCACCTTGCCGTAAGTTCCTTCATCTATACTTCTACCCTTCCAAGAGCCTCCTTATTCCACATGCTTATGTCCAGTTTTAGTATATGAGCTTCTTTGCCAACTGGAATGATGATCTACTTGTAACTTTCTAGCATTTCCACTCTCCACCTATCAAAGACCTTATTTCCACAGTTTGCCGCTTTCAACCATACATTCTCAAATATAAAAGGGGTCGTGAATTCCTTCATATCTAGCATGACTAACAAGTGATCCAAAATCACCTTGGACAATATGACTTGCAATACTTTCAGAACCAATGCCTTTATGTGGTAAACGCTAAGAATTTGTCAAGTCTTGATTTAGAGGTTGAATAAACTGACCTTGCTCAAGTAAATCCAGTCTTTCAGAGGAAGGTCAATAAGAAAATGCCTATTGATCAACTTCGAGAACTCCATTGCCTTACACACTGCTCTACCTCCCATCCTTTCATTCAAAACCCTAATGGTGTTAATGTGCCCCCAATCACTCACGTGATATCCAAACCCATTACAGGAATAGAAAACTAAGTTGAGAAACTATCATCCAAGGTTCCCACCACTTACGTCTTGCCTCCTGCAACTTTGCCCATAGTGTTGTATTTTTAGATATACAATCTTCGAAAGCTAGGAGAATCCACTCAACATCTTCGTCGCTATAGTGTTGTCAAAGGCTCATATAAGGAGCGCTAAAGCCTTGAAGCTCAGAGAAACTTAAGGCATGCGCTTCGCGTCACTTAGGTTGCGCTCCAATGTAGGTAAGGCACCCAAGGCGTGCACCTCATCGCCCATAAGTTCCATCTTGAATTATCTACTAAACAATTAATATGATTCCAAAAAGATACATTAATTGTTACGAAATAACATAATGAATGAAATTGTTACTCTTTTTTCATATTAAATACATATTTTTGCTTTTTTCTTCGTTGTGCCTTTTTAACTAAAGCCCACATGTTTATTGCATTTTGAGCTTAAAGTCCTGATAGACCTGGAGCGCTTTTTAACACTTTTTGCCTTTGACAACACTAGCTTTATCTGAATTGACATAAGATTTATTGAGAAAATGTATCTAACAAGAACAGTTCCCCATTGTCCTACAACAACAACAACAACAACCCAGTATAAGAACAGTTCCCATTGTCCTAAACCACCAATAATTCCCCCGCTACTCCTCTGGATTCAAGATTGGTTCATACCCACCCATTTGTTACTCCACACTCTTCAAGACTGGTCCCCATCCATTTATACTCCACACTCTTCAAACTATTGCATATGTTACTTGTTTTGTCATTCTTTCTTAGAAAACACTGGAGGGGAATCGTCATTTCACGACCTCCCTTAATCACCATATTTTTGTCAGGTTCTTTGCCCCATAAATTTCATGATATTATTTTATTCGTGCTTAAACTATCCGCATTTTCTACTACCCCACCTTGCTCCCTCCTGCCCCCTACCAATACAAGAACAAAGAAGAAAATAGGAAACGAAAATACAAGAACAAAGAAGAAAATAGGAAACGAAAAAGGCGCCGAGATTTATAATACTTCTCCTGGCAACAAACCCACGATCACACGCACAAAAACCAGCACATGCATCAACATTCAAGCAAGAACATGCGAAACTAACATGGGACTAATTGAAAAACCAGCTAACCCAACAA